AGGGTGCCCAGGAGTGTAGCAGCCCACACCCTCCTGAGCAGCCCTTGAGGCCCCCTGGCCGCCACCCCCAAGATGAGGGAGGAAGCCCTGGGTTTTCCCAAGAGTCTGTGCCAGAGTGTCGGAAGGTGGTGAACAGGCTGGCTCGCCCTAACACACAGAGCATATTAGGATCCTGTCCTCTCTTCCCCTGAGCTGACCCCCCTACTCCAGGGGGTAGCCTACACACACTCACACACTCCTCACACGTGCACATATTTACACATGCACACGCATGCACATACCCCTGCACTCAGACGTACATGTACAAATGCACACACACATACTCCTACACACATGCTTATGCACACATATACTTGTACATGCACACACGTACCCCTACACATGCATGTATGCACGTACACACTCGTGTACCCCTACATGCACGCACATGCATCCTGCACACATTCACACGTAGATGCACACACATGCACACCCCTGCACTTACGTGTACACACGAATACACACACACCCCATGCACTCCTGTATGCATATGCACACACATGCGTGCACACACATGCATGCACACACACACTCACCTACCCACACACCCAGGCACCCCTACATGCACACACGTGCATGCACATGCATGTGTGCACACACACGGTAACTGTAGCTCCCAAGTGTACATACAGTCATACAGTTAGTACATTTATGGGAACCTCATTGGAAACAGGTTTAAAATACACTTGCTTGTCTGAGGAAAAGCCTTTCTCTACGTGGCAGTGTAGCAAGCCAGAAGATCGCCCAGACCAGGAGCCAGGAAGCTGTGTGCCTGAGGCCATATCACTTGACTTTTCTGAGCCTGCCTCTCAGTTTCGCCCTCAGGACGGTGATAGGGGCCACTGAGCTGTGAATCCTGGTAGCCTGTTCACTGCCCACTGTCCAGCTGGACAAGGCTGGGCGGGGGCATCTGTGTGCCCAAGCCTGACCCTGCCTGGAAGCCACAGGGGAAGAGGCCTTGAGATGGTGGGGAGTAGGTACTGCAGGGTTCTAGATGAGTCACATCCCATCTCTGGGACTCAGGTCCCCATCCGCAAAATGAAAACGACAGTCCCTGTCTTGCTGTCTCTGGGAACAGCTAGGAAAATAAAGAGACAATTGGGTTTATTGGGGTGGGGGTGCTCCTATGGGAAGGCCTAGGTTGCCCTGCCCGCTTGGAACTCAGGACTTTGTCCAGGAATCCTCTAGGGCTGCTCCCAGCAGGACTCCTGGGGCTTCGTGCCACAGCATTCAGATGTGCCACCTCTGGGACTCCAGAGTCCCTCTCCCTAGGAGAGACACCTTTTTATCTTCAGCATGTTTTATAAAATATGTATCTGCCATCCTAGTCCCAGTGTGGCCACTGGCTCACTGTGCAGCCACAGCCATTCTTCCCCCACTCTGGGCCTCAGTTTCTGTGTCTGAGAAGTGGGGCCATGGGCCTGACAAATTCACAGGGCTCCCTGGGCACACAGGCCAAAGGAAAAGCTGGGATTACTGTGTGGGCAGCCTAGGCAAGGCCCTCACTCTCACCTCAGCCCCTGCAAGGCCTTCAAGAAAACAGTGGGTCCTGTCCTCACATGTGACATGTTTTTGTCATATCTTCTCATTCCCCAGCCACTCAGGGCAGGCATCATCACCCCCATATCAAAGATGAGGAAACTGGGGCTCCAAGCTGAGACAGTCTTCCCAGGGGCACATGGGCAGGCAGGACTTGGACCCAGGGCTCTGGACTCTGGACCCAGTGCT